TTTTCAAGTGCGTATTAGTAGTTTGTGTATCTTCTTTCATGAAATATATATCCATGTATTTAGCCCAATTTTTATTTGGGTAATTTGTCATCATTGAGTTGTAACAGATTTTTATATAGTTTTAGAAACAAATTCTTTATTAGATATGTGGTAGATTCCTTCTCATTTTTTGACTTGAGTTTTCATTTTCCTTATGGTATCTGTTGAAGAGTCAAAGTTTTTAATTTTAATTTTGGACTTTATTTTTTTATATGGGTTCTGCTTTTGATGTCATATTTAAGAATTAGTTCCCTAATCTACAGTCACAAAGACTTTCTCTTTTACTTTGAGGAGAAATCAGCAAATTGCAATCTATGGACCACATTTGGTCTACCACATATTTTTGTCAATAAAGTTTAAAGAACATAGACACATCCATACTTCTATAATGTCTAGGGTTGCTTTCCTTTTGTAATGACAAAGTTGAATAGTTGTGACAAGCTACGGCTAACATAGCCTAAAATACTTACTTCATGGTCCCTTTTTTAAGGTGTTTGCTGATCTCTGTCCTAGAAGAGTTACATTACAGTTTTAACTGATATTTTAGGTTTATGACCTAAAATTAATTTTAATTTTGAATTCATTTTTGGTTGTATGGTATGAGATAAAGATATAAGTTCATTTTTTGTACTAAAGATAGGCAGTTGTCCCAGTAATATTTGTTGAATAGACTATCTTGTAGGTAATGACTCTTCTTTTTTTTTTTTCCTGCTTTCAGTATTTTCTCCTTGTTTTTGATTTTCGACGGTATATCTAGATGAGAATCTCTTTGTATTTATCCTACTTTTTGGCTTTACTGAGTTTCTTGGAACTATAGATTGTCTTTCCTAAAATTTGGGAAGTTTTCAGCCATTATATCTTACAGTTTTGTGTTTTTTTCCTGTCTTCCTTTCTCTCTTTTCCCTGTCTGAGACTCCCATTATGTGTATGCTGGTGTTTGTAAGTCTCCAATACTCTATTCAATTTTTTTAAATCATTTTTTTCCCTCTGTTTTCTAGACTGGATAATTTCTATATTATATCTTTATTTCCACTGATTTCTTTTTTCATGCAGTATCAAATGTGCTTATCAGACTATCTAGTGAATTTTTCTTTCCAATTTTGTATTTTTAACTGAAATTTCCATTTGGTCCTTTTTCATAGTTCTTTGCTGACATTTCTCACTTGTTTAGTCATTGTCTTTGTGTTTTCTTTACTTCTTTAAGCATGGCTTCCTTTAATTCTTTGAAAGTATTTATAGTAACTTCTGAAATTTTTGCTAAATCTGGTATCTGGTCCCACTTGAATACAATATTTAGTGATTAGTTTTTTTCACCTTAAGTATGGGTCATAGTTTCCTATTTCTTTGTATAGTTTATTATTTTTTCTTGAAACTGGATATTTTATTTAATATAACAACTCTAGATTGTTATTTTATTCATATTTTTCCTGCAAGTTATTATTGTTTACTTAAAGTAACTTGCTTGGTCTTAATTTATGTAATCTGTCTTCCCCATAGTTGCTGCTAATAATCTCAGCTTTTTTGTTTTTAAGATTGGCTTCCCAGAGTTCACCTCTGTGTCTGCATAGCATGTTGTTGTTGTTATGTGCCGTCGAGTCAGACCCGACTCATAACAACCCCTCCTTGAGTTTCCAAGGCAGTATCACTACGGAAGTAGATTGCCCCATCTTCCTTCCGAGGAGTGGCTGGTGGGTTTGAACTGCAAACCTTCTGGTTAGCAGTCAAGTGCCTTAGGCACTATGCTACCAGAGCTTCTTTTGTATAGCATAGTGCTTAGCTAATGATTAGTTGGAGATTGTGCTTAAGCCAATAAGGCTTACACCCTCTGCCAGTAGATTGTGTATATGTTGGGAAACACATTCAAAGTTCAAGCCGTTTTCAAGTTTGGCTCTTTTACTTTCTATTGGATTCTCATAAGTCTCCCTTGTGTGTGCACACAGAGTCCCAATCAGCAAGGGATGTGTGAAGAGCTTAGTTTCTCTAAAGTCTCCAGTGTTAGTTGAGATTTTGCAGAGAGCTTGAGACCTTATGGGTCTCCCCTGTTTGTGTATGCAACCTCCTAGTCAGCTCTCCTCAAGGATTAGTGGAGAATATATCAAGACCCTCTACAGCTCCCTCATTTCCAGGATATCGCTGTTGAATTTCTCACTAGTCTTCATGTTGTACCTTGTCCCAGTTGGTACAAAATCTCAGGCTAAGAGAGCCATAGGTTTTTCTGTTTCCTGCTGAGTGTAAGTTTTCTGCACACTGTTACGAATCAAAGTTGTTCCCCTTCAACAATGAAGCTGTTGGTTTTCATAGCTAATCTCCTATGGAACTACCATGCCAGTGGAATATAAAAAAACCCACTGCCATCAAGTTGATTCCAACACATAGTGACCCTATAGGACGGAGTAGAACCGCTCCATAGGGTTTCCAAGTCTGTAAATCTGTACAGAAGCAGACCACCTCATTTTTTTCCCACTGAGGCTTGAACTGCCAACTTTTGGTCAGCAGTTGACTGTCTTAACCATTGTGCCACTAGACTTCCTTGATTAGTGGAGTAGAAAACCAGAAACAAACTCACTTCCATTGAGTTGATTCCAACTTGTAGTGACCCAATAGGACAGAGTAGAACTGCCCCCTAGGATTTCCAAGGGTGTAAATACTTATGGAAGCAGACTGCATCTTCTTTCTCTAGTGGAGCAACTGGTGGGTTCTAACCACCAACTTTTTGGTTAGCAGCCTAATGGTTTAATCACTGCAGTACCAGAACTAGATTAGAGAAGGGGCTAAAGGCAGCTCCTGGCAAGACACAGGAGTTCACTGTTCTTACCAGAAGTTCAGCTGTTTCTCATCAATAAATTCTTTGCACTATTTTTTTTTGGGGGGGGGAGGTGCTTTTCTGTAATTTTCAGAACCCAGAAATGGTTGTTGTGATGGTTTAACCAGTTGTTTTATAATTGTCCTTTTGGGGAGGAATTTTGTACTTCTTCAATAAAGGGAGTCCACTTCAGAACTCATGATTTTAAAACCTCAGGTATATTACATAGACTTTGAAGATGAAGGATCTTTAACTTAACTCATGCTACTTTTTCTATAGGAATAGTGAATAATTTTTTTAAAAGAAATAAATAACAGAGAGGGGTGAATGGGTGATTAAGTCTTAGATTTCTAAGTAGTATGAAACATTTACCTTTGTTTAAGTAGATTTGCAAGATCAAACTGAGGTTGATTGAAAGGTTTGGTGGCTCTCCTGGGACAACGTGTGTTGTTTCTTCAGAGCAACAAAATACTTTACAGAGTGAAAATGTACTTATCCATGTGATATTCCTTGCTTCATAACAATTTTATGAGAATAGGTATTGTAATTGGGATTATTTTATAGATAAGGTCGCATATTCTCAGGTTAGGGACTTAACCCATGTTCTTAACCTTTATATGTGGTAGAGATGGGATTTGAACCCATTTCTTCTGACTTCTCTTTGTTCTTTATATTCTATACACCTCCTTTCCTTTCTGTACCAAGTCACAATTACTTGAAGATTCTTTGATGATCTTAGCATATTTATTTATGTAGGTAGTACTTGAGGTTGGAACAGTTCACAAGAATCTTCCTAAATTTTTACTAGGAGCTCAGATTCTTTTTTTTTCCCCAAATGATAATCATTCTTAACTCATTGAAGAGTCCCTACTCACTTAGGCAGTTATTTAAAGCAAAGTGGTAAGCGTCACAGAAAGAGATGTCCCATGGCAGCTTCCTCTGCCAGCTTCCTCTTTTTTTCTTACTCCATAGATGCAGATTCTGCCCAAGAAGCCCCTGCATTGCAGAGGGACTGGAGATCTGTATGATCTGTTTATTTCGCAATTGACAAGGGTAAGGGGGCCTTTTTGGGGGAGGCGCTTGGGTGCCCTGAATTTAGCTTTATGCAGCTGGAATAATATTTATTTTGGGATTTTTAAACTTAGTATTTTTAAAAACCTTTCTATGAATTGTTTGTCCTACATCAGTTAAGTGTCAGATTATCATATTAAAAACCATTTATTATAATAATTTTTTTTAAGTTCAAAAAAGTCATGCAAACATGCTTCATACTTCTAAAAATTTGAAATATGGGATCATTTTGAATATAAGTAATATTGAATATATGTAAGTAAAATTTCACTACAATCAAACTTTTAAAAAGATTTTTAGATAACCATCTATTTCTATAACCCATAATAGTTATGCTTTATTAATCTGCTTTGTTCCTTTTCCATGTATCCATCAATGTGTAGAGTGAAAAAGGGACTTGTGGATATACTATAAACATTATGGGTGGGTGTGGTGTCTTTTTTCTTGCTGCTAGAAATTATTACTGGCTTCCTTGAATTCAGTATCTACCGTACATGCCAATGAAATTTGAGTTATATCTGCAGACTGTCCTATATCCATTCATTAGGATAGGTGTAAAAGTATAGTTCATGAATCTTATGGGAGCCAAGATTAAGTTTCATTGCACTTACTTACAAGGTTTACAGAGCAAGTACCAGATCATGGTATTTATAATAAGATGATTAGTAAAATAAGCAAGGAAGAATTTGATGTTCTTTTAAAGTTGCAGAAGGATTAGACAGCTGATTATAGCTTTGATCTGTAGACTTGTGAAAATTTGAATTGGTGATGGTTTGATAGGCTTATTTTTATTTTTGAGGATATTATTATACCTTGTAGTAAAATAGCTTTGTTTGCCTAAAGAAATAGTGTACATTTCTAATTTCTATAGTTTAAATTGATATTTTTAGTATTCTATACTTCTAAGTAGTCCTCTTTAAACATATAATTTTTAGATTTTAAAGTCAACAACAGTAATATGTATGTTATCCTTACCACTGTTAATAAACATTCCACTTTCTAGTGCCAACATATTTGGAAAACCATTTTTATTCTTAAACATCTTAAATGACTTTTTTTTTTTTTTTTTTTTTCTGTTTTCTTTAAGCCATAAGGATGAGTTTACCATTATTCCTGTACTGGTTGGAGCTCTGAGTGAGTCAAAAGAACAGGAATTCGGAAAACTCTTCAGTAAATATCTAGCGGATCCTAGTAATCTCTTTGTGGTTTCTTCTGATTTCTGCCATTGGGGTAAGTTCTAGATTTTAACGTAACATGGTAGATACTGTATGCTTGTGGTTAAAGGTATCTTTTCATTCTAAGCTGTGATTTTCAGTTCTTTATCACTTTCCTTGGAAAATTTTACTCTTAGCAACAGTATTAAAAGTGAATAAAAAAATCTTTTAATCGTTTAAAAAAGATCAGATTATAATAGTGGATTATGGATACATTTCCAAAGGCGACTGGTATAATTGGATTCACAATGTGAGGGCATCCTTGCTTAGGCACTTATGTTCGTGAGAGTTAAGATCTTTTAACCTCGTTTGCATTTCAGATTCTCTAGTTGGTTTTGTGGTGGATAAAACAAATATTCTTCATTAGAACATAGAAGAGCACTGTGTGCTATGCTAGTCCTTTTCTGCATTTCCTTTTTTTGTAATTAGTCTTTTTTCCCTTTCTTTTTCCCTTTGGTGCTTAATGTTTGCCATCAGTTTAGAGCTTCCCTCCAAAAATGATACATTGGCTATTATCACTGTAGTCTGTATTGTTAGTGGCTAATAAGGGTAAGGTCTCTTAAGTGATCTTTCTGATTACTGTGAATTTAAAGAGTAATAATGAATATGTCATAGAAGAAGGGAAGCCTTGGTGGATGCCTCCTTTAGTAAATTTTATTATTTGGATTCTTTGGTCATAATTTGCTCTCAGTTAACTAGTACTGTGCCAACATATTTCTGAATTCCATTACTTTTAGGACATCTCTTTGACTTATTTACTCATTGTTAAAAAATGCCTGTATCTGTTCATTCATCAGCTGTTTCTTTGATTATAGGGAAAACATAAAAGCAGACCATAATGTTTAAGATAGCGTGCTAGAATGGCAAGAAAAGCATCATTAATGAGATATAGGGAATCCATGTAGGCTTTTACGTGTCTTACCCATTGATTACCAGAGTTCATTTCAAAATATCTGGCATGGTTGGAATGGTATTTTCTCTTATCTCCCACTCTGAACCGTGTTCTTAAAGGTTTCATTGCTATTGAGGAGAACCATTGTCCCTAGTGGTACAGTTTTTTGTTTAAGGCAGTGATTCTCAGTTGAGGACTTTTTTTTTTTTTTTTTTCCTTTTCTGCTTCCTTGGGGATATTTGGCAATGTCTGGAGACAGTTTTGCAGTTTTGGTCATCACAAGTCGGGGGAAGGGGTATGCTACTGGCACATAGTGGGTAGAGAGCAGGGATGCTACTGAACATCTTACAATACACAGGACAGCCCCCTACAGAAAAGAATTATCTTGTCCAAAATGTTAATACTGCTAAGGTTGAGTGAGAAACCCTTGTTTAGGACATGCAGATACCTGAGGTTCCTTGCCAGATTCCCACAAGAAGTTTTCAAGGTTCTTTAATAACTCATTCTATTGCATTGTTGGTGTGCTATATACAAGTTATTTTTTATGGACATAAATATATTCCCTGGATTTGAGGGCTAGATACTAGAGTCTTAAAAGGTCCTTTTTGTTTGTTTGTTTGTTTGTTTCTTTGGAATTCTGAAATTTCACAATACTTGATATTAACCTAAGGAATTTCATTAAAACTATTAAAAAGCTATTTTTCTTAGCACTGTGAATTTGCTTTGGTAATAAAATGTGCTTTGGAAATTAAAAATTCTCAAAACTATGCTCCCTTCTCTTTCATTTTTAAGACTGTTCTGAATTGTTGTTACGCGCTATTGAGTCGTCTTCGACTCATAGCGACCCCTCCTTGGGGCAGTATCACTACAGAAGCAGATTCCCCAATCTTCCTTCTAAGGAGTAGCTGGTAGGTACTTAATTTAAAGAATTAGTTTCCTTGATATTGTTCTTCAGAATCTGAACTCTGTTTGGGTTAGCACCATGTGCAACCACAACAGAAATTCACTTAAAACATTAGTGGATGCTCTAAGATTAGTCTTCTGTGGAATCATCTTTTTTTTTTTTTTTTAAAATCTCATTTGTGAAGAGATTCTTGACATTGAGGGTTTTTTAAATATTTTTAAAGCAAGCAAACTCTAGTCCTTAGCTATATTTAAGTAGAAAGATAGAATAAGAAAAATGAATTCTGTGTTCTACCTAGATTCTCTGAAAATTGGTTAGGCCATGTGATCTCTATGTTATCTTGAAAATCTTAGCATTTGAATAGTAAAATAGAATTTCTGTGTTATAATTGCAGAAAAAGAACCTATAATTTTAGAAGACTGATAAATGTTAGCTATGAGAATTATTCAGAACGAAAACATATTTATATTTACATTTGATGGGTTAAATAACAGAATTTTTCCAAATGTTCATTTCTGTATGTCATCATCATTTACAATACTCATTAAGTGCTTACTTTGTACTAATGGAAGGCAATGGGCTGGTTTTTCCTAGGGATTTGGTGAAGGTTGGAAAGTAAGGGGAAGTTGTTACATGGATACTATTGTAAAATTATTTGTCTCTTTAATACCATAATAAATACCATTCTTGTAGAGTAAGATTCATTCTCTATTTTACATCCATGTTGATGTATACCCACTCCTCACTTCCCATATGGTTAGCTTCCAAAGACCAGATCATTATGTGAAAATTGGCGTTGCATAAAAATGGACGATGACAACATCAGATCACAAAATGGAGGTTAACTGTATCATTACATAACTGCCAAATCACATCATTACAATAACCACCGACAATCATGGCCCAACCCAGTGGACACATAACCATAAACCATCACAGCCAGTGTTACTCTTGCCTGACACCTTGGCAGTTGTTAATGCCCAGTGTATATCATCAATATGCAAAACAGTAATTTTTTTTTTACTATTATTATAAATGCAAAATGTTGGATAACAAGGAAGTGAGTAAGTGAGGAATAGGTGTAGAATGATTCATTGGGCTACCTATGGGTATAGTTGTCTTAACTTAGGAATTAAGTTTTATGTTTCTCAAATTCATGCTCTAGTACCATTGGGGGATCTTTGCTAAATTAGAAATAGTTCTGTATTCCGATCTCACAAATCTAGGTTTTTTTCTCATGAAGGTAATATTTAGAAGTTTTTTTTTTTTTCCTTTCTTTTTAAAAACTACTATATTAAACTAATCATAGCATTTAATTCTAACTCAGTACACAGGAAGGATTCAGTTCTTTAAGTGTGCAGAAACCTGAAAAGACCCATTGAGTTAGGCTTTTAACATACTCCACATTTCTTAGTAGCTGATTTGGAGGTGGTGGGGGGGGGTCACTTTATTGGTTATGGCACATATAACAAATTTCTTAGATATATAACATGCAAGTATCTTTGTTTTTATTGAACAATAATAGATTACTGACAGTGATGACATTTATTTCTAGTCATTAATTCTCCTGTTTTATCCAACTTCTGCGAAAAAGAAAGTAAGAAACTTGATAAAGACAGTTGGAACTCCTGTGTGTAAATTGGAAGGGTTTTGCCTTGTTGACTTTATTTGTTAGCCAACTATATATTACAAGCATTTCTTTTTTTTTTTTTTTTTAATTTTACTTTAAATATGTTCATCTTTCAGATCCCATTTAGCTTTTATGTAGACTTCAAAGAGACATTAGAAAGTAAGGGTAAAAAAACCGATGTTTTCCTTTGGGGGTGAGATAAATGCAAAGGAGAGACAGAAACCTAGATTCTTTTTTCTGTTTCCTCACTTGAGTTCCCCAAAAGGAAATCCTTCATTTCAATTCCTGACTTTTATTTTATTAGTGTTATACAGAGGGAAATGGTTGAGTTAACCAAATAGGATGATGTTTCCCAGGTAACCCTTGTCTGCTCTTGCTGCTAGCACGAGATGGAATGAGTGAAAGGACATTTGCTGCTAGTTTTTATTTTTACCATAATTAAGTAATATCCCGATACTTTGTATACTCGTCAAGTTCTGCATCTTATAGGATGACTTCATTTAAGTGAATTTTGTCTGGACCTATTTTATTGTTCCTAATTAGTAGAATTTTCATTCTTTTCTCTTAAGTTTTATTTTTGCTTTTATCCATATATACTGTTAATATTTGTATTTTTTTCAATCCCCCTGAAATTTATACTTCCAAATTTAGATTATTGGTAGTTTTAACTACCAATTAACATGATTTTCAGTTCTAAGAAGATTCCAAATGAGTTAGAATCTAACAGAAATTGATTCTTTACAAGTAGATTCATATTTTGACTTGATTTGCCATTTACGGTGGTTTTTAAGTGCAATTTCAATAAGTTTACTTGTAAATACTTATAACAAATATTATTTTGTTAAAATTGTTGTTGTTGTTGTTATGTGCCGTCGGTCGAGTCAGCCCTGACTCATAGCGACCCCTCCTTGGGTTTCCGAGGCAGTATCACTATGGAAGTAGGATTGCCCAACCTTCCTTCCGAGGAGTGGCTGGTGGGTTTGAACCGCCAGCTGTCTGGTTAGCAGGCAAGTGTCTTAGCCACTATGCTACCAGAGCTCCCTTTGTTAAAATATGATTACATTTTTCTGTAGTCTCTTTAGCAATTTTGAATTTTGATCCATAAACTTCTATTTATCTTGGTTTACATGATTTCTATTTTAGAAATTAGTGACACTCCTAAAAAATGGCATTTTGCCTTCAATATTAAGGAAATTTGTATCTTCAACTATTTTGATTTCTTTAAGATTTATATTAACAAGTGATTATTTGTGCATAGTCCTTTTTCTTAATCTCTTGAGTGCAGTGCTATTAGTATTTTCTTAATGTTTATATTGGTTTAAATGCAGGTTAGCTAATTCCTAAAATATATTTTATCCAAGCCTTCATATTTATCTTCTCAAATATTTGTACTTACTGAGTTCATATATTCAGGTTTTTGATCTCTTGCAAGTTTAAGACAAAGATTGCAGAATAAAAAAACTACAGTATTTTGTTTATAAAAAAAATGATTATGTATTTGATTGCTACTTAGATGATATTTCCTGCATGAAATGCATTTTCCCTTTGGTAGTGATTTCAGTTGTGAATGCCCCAGTTTAGATTCTCAGTTTGGCTATTAAAAAATAACAAAAAACAAACTCATTGCAGTTGAGTTGATACCAACTCACAGCGACCCCCTCCTTGGGTTTCTGAGACAGTGTCTCTACAGAAGATTGCCCCATCTTCCTTCCGAGGAGTGGCTGGTGGGCTTGAACCACCAGCCTTCTGGTTAGCAGTCAAATGCCTTAGGCACCGTGCCACCAGAGTTTAGCTATAGAATGGCCCAATAGCCGGTCTCATAATTTGTTGTGAGGTTAACTCATATTTTTGAAGATGCTTGCACATATAAACATGAAATGTTGTAGTAAACATGTGATAGTATAATTTTTATTTGATATATGTCTGAAAATCTGTCTTATTGCTTGATCTTTTGGAGACTTTGCAAATCAGCTTTCCAAGCTCATTGTTTATTTTTGCAATCTGGTATGTAGCTTAATGTTGAGGTATTTTTTATTTATAT